GATGTCTGAAGGCCATGCAGGTGGAGAAATATTAACCACAAATATGAGCTGGATTTTCACAATCCAATCAATGCCTGTTTAATCAAATCAGGTCTTGGCCTACATTACTTCCTGCTAAATATTGTTTGACTCAAGTTTGCACTGCATTACAAAAGTCAGATGTGTTGGAAAGGCTGTTTCAAGTTGTCTTTAACTAAATGGAATCATAATTGGAATATGTACTCGGAATATGAGACACACAAGATCTAAGTAATCTGTACAAATTGTTATACAATGGCTTTGGTCCAGCCTGTCGGCATCTGAAAGTTATGCTTGTTGCTTTCCAATCAAACATTTCACATGAGTCTTTGTTTTAGCCTCTCAATCACGAAGAAAAGGGCGGACTGTAATAGAGCCGGGAACTTGACACCGACAGATTTCAAACAAACCAATAAATATCCACAAGAGCTTTTACTTAAAGGGGTCATATGATGCTTTTTTAAAGATCATTATTTTGTGTATTTGGTGTAACAGAAACATTACGCAAATATTTCCACATAATGACGTAGATATGTGAGGGCGTGTTAGAACGAACCATTTTAGGGGGGCGTGGCAGAGTCTTAACTTTGATAAAGAATATCTCTTTGGTTTTGAGACTTTAGTCTTTGCAACTTCAGGGATCTTATCGATGCACAATCAGCTTGTAACACTCCAAAGAGAAAGGAAAACTTGAAATAGCATCATATGACCCCTTTAAGAGTTGATCTCCATGGCAACAGGCTATTATGGGAAAGTTGCCTCTATGTCTCTAATTGTGCTGCTGTTAGCTGGCAGCACTGCTGCTAGATTAGCACATACAGTACAATAGACGCAAACATCATTTCCTGCCTGTGGATATGCCAAAGAACAGGAAGTGCATGCTGAGATATAAACGATGACGGATCTGTGAACTTATTATTAACCACCAGGTCTGAGTTGCTGAAGTGGCTCTCTGAATATTAGTCTCAAAAGTAAAGGGCACAGTCACTAGCCACCTCTGGTACCTCTAAATGCCACCTCCGCCTAATCTGCACCGGCAAAGTCCACAAAATGCAAACTGCTGCCGAAGCCGTTTCCATATATAGCCATAAAACATAATATCGCCACTATCAATATGGTAATTTTCCCATCCCAGCCCTAGAGATCATAAAGCCTGTATTTGGTAGCATATTTTCATCAATAAAAAGGGAGGGTGTTCTTGAGTCTGCATCCTGTGTTTAAAAGCCCCATTAAATCACAATGTGGTTGTAACCGAGGCCCTGGCTCTCCCCTTGAAGGTCACTTTAGCAGTCTCTGGAAATGGGCTCCAACCGACTGTCTTCGTTGGTTTGCTAATGGAAACTACTGTTTGGCAAACACAGTTGTGAGACTAAGGCATACAGTATAAGGCAATAATCTAAAGATTGTGGTAAATTGTTTTGTACAGTACATCAATAGTTCATGACTGACTTTAGGATATGCATACACACACATTCACCAGTGTTTCTGCTACATTCATTCGTGTAGTGATGGGCCGTTCTTGAACGATTCATTCATTTTGAACAAATATTTAATATGACTCAGGAACGATGAGTTGTTTCAGCACGGGATTCATTCATTTCATGTTGATCGCGCATGCACAATGAAATTAGTTCACCTCTCGAGTCTTCAGGTCCGAGACGTTCGTTCTTTTGTCACGTGATGTGAGAGCAGCAATGGATACAGATCATTGTTGGATAACGCTTTAAACTTTATCCATATGATGGGGAAAATCACTTTGATAATACCTAAATACTGTATAACACAACATTACAAGATACGGATCCGGGAAGTGGCCACGTGACAAAAGAACGAACGACTCAGACCTGAAGACTCGGGAGATGAACTAATCATTTCTGTTTCCTGTAAAGACTGCATAACTTTAGGTTAACCTTATGGGGATGTGACGTGACAAAAGAACGAATGACCCGAAGACTGGGGAGGTGAGGTGAACTAAGCAATGAATTAATAATTTCTGTTTCTTATGATTTGGTCTTTGTTGCATTATAGTTTATATAATGTGATCAATGTTTGCGTAAATACAGTAGATTTGTTGGGGAATTTGGATATTAACATGTAACATTTTAATTATATTCTGCTGAAATGAACGAAATGACTTGGAAAAATAATTTGTTCAATTTGCTTAAAGAGATTCAAAGATCCGAGTCAGTAAAATGATACGAACTTCGCATCACTGGGCCGCCACACCAAAAATCATCCCCGTCACGGCTGCAGCTCCTCAGTGACATAACAGTGACGCCACTCACATCATTCACAGTTGATGGAGCAGGACTTGAATTTCGGTGCGGGCATTGCGGGTATTATTGCGCTTATAACGTGATGACATATGATGGAATGTATAATTTGCACGTGCTTTTATGTCTTGCCAGTTTAAACATTCAAGCGACTTTAATTAATTCAAGCGCAAAAAGAGTGAAAGAGAACTCAATACAGTACTTGCGCGCTCTCTTATAGACTGTTTTCTGTGCATCCACACCCAAAGCACGTGCACATAAAGCCGCCTCTAAAACAGTGCTCGACTTCAGAATTAGGTTATTAACAATTAGCTTTGCACCTTATTGCGTGTTAAAAGCCAAATAGATACAAAATTATGTCAAAATGCCCATCTTGGCGAGTATTCACGTAAACACAGTCGGTTTAAATAGTCAGTTAGGCTATTAAGTGAATGTAAACCGTTGTGAAACAGTCCTGCTACCACAGCTCAAAAAAATCCTAGGAAACACTTTTATTGTTATCACTTTTATTTTCAAACATCACTTTTATTCTCACAGTTTTCTCCGTTGCTCATTTGACTTCCGGAACAGGTGTAATGGTTAGTTTCTAGAACCATCTTTGCAATGAAGAATTCAATTCCATTCATCAACATAGCAGCATTTGCACTTGATTCTGTGATTTTAACATTATAAATGAATTATAAGCTATGTTTTATGGTTTTTCACATTTGCTAAGACAGTAAATCCCATTCTCTGAAGCAAATTTTCAATAGCCTAAACCGATTTGTCAAATAAATCACTCTTTCTGCAAATCTTAAACAAGTTCAGGCAGTTTAGACACTGTTTGAAGATCTCATGCACTCTTTTCGCAAAACTCCAAACACATTCTCACTCACTAAAATGTAATTTGCATTGTGATGAAGTTGTGATGCAAAACCTTAAACACAAGACAGCAAAAGTTAACCACAACTGCAACACGGTTGTCATCGTTTACACACAATAATTCAAAACTGTTCACACTTGTTTCTAAATATGTGAATGTACAAAATATAAGCCAGTTCAAAGTGCACAGATGGCATGGGTGCATCCATCAATCGGAGAGGTACAGAAGGAGTTCGTCCGTTTTGTTGGGTAGAGAGCGGAGGTTCGCCAGATGGATGCTAGGCAACGGCGTTCTGAATCTGCGCTGCCTGAGCTTCACGAGTGCGCCGGCTCACTTCCCCCATCTGCGCGTCCTGAAGCGCTTGATCAGCGCCGCTGCTCCCCCGACTACAATGTCCAGCAAAACATCAGAATAGTCGAAAACCGGTGAAATATCGGGTGGTGTGTACTTCCGAATGTCCAGCAATTAGTCTCTGGTGAAACTGATTGCAGGGATATAACTAAAGACCAGACAAACTAACAAAAACATAAAAACAACTGCGGAGCACGCCACGGAGGCAGCCATCAGCGTCGGCGCGATCGCGGATCCATCAGTTGGAAAGTTCAAAAGAACAGCAAAAGAAGAGTGGAAGAGAATCTTGTGTAGAATTGCAAGACTACCATGACAGTGTGGAAGAACTGGCCTGTGGTGACATTCAGTAAACGTGCTGTCTTGTCAAGGCTGGAACCGCCACACCAGAGTTTTTTTTTTTCCCCGTTCAGTAGTCCTCTGATTCATATGTATGTATGTATGTATGTATGTATGCATGTGTGTATACTGTATATGTATGTACTGTATATGTGTGTGCGTTTTCCTTTTTGAGAGTAATTTGAGAGTATTATTTTGTATATTCTCTAAGACGATATTCACCAAACTCAGGTGTGATTTCTTTTGCTTGTGTTTGCTTGTGTGTGTGTGTGTGTTTTACAGTATTGCAAAATATTTACTCTATACAATAAACAGTTTTGTGTGTGTGTGTGCGTGTGTAACTACATGCACTGGACACTGTGTTCTCCATTTTTTTATGTAGTGTCTAATGAATGATCTGTAGTGTGTATATTATTGACCGATGTGTGTGTGTGATTTGAAAGCTTTGTTTGATTTTGAGTACAGGTGAAATTATTTTGAAGCGATTGTTTGATTTTGCCAGAAGAGTCAGGGCTTCTGTGAATTTAGTTTGAAGGTTTGGATTTGTGTTTAAGGTTTTAAGAAAATGAGTGATGGTTTCAAGAAATGTGTTTAGCAATTAAGAAAAACTGTAATGCTGCCCTCCAGTCAGAGTTGGACATTTCAAGAAATAAGGGGAAAAATGCTCCTGTATTAATTATTTTTATATTTATAACATGATAGTTCAGCAATATGACACGATCATACTGTTTTTCTGAATATCACCACAATTGCAAATGTGATTTGATAAAACAGTTCAGTAAACAAAGACACATTTTAGTTAGTTAGTGATTTCAATTGATTCATAACAATAGCCAGTTATTCATCCCCATTAACAAAATATTCAGAGGAAAATATGGTCTGTTTTCATTTACATGTAAGCATTTATGAAAACATTGTTCAATATGTTTGAATCATGAATTAACAGAATACTGCATCGTATCGTGATACTTCAGCTGGTGTCATAAGACATTTTAATGGTATCGTGATAAATAAATAAATGATATGTCTGACAATGCTAAAAATCAGCCTACAAGTGATTCTTCCTAAAGTTGTTCATGGCATTTAGTGTTTTAATCTAAAACTCAATTCATATCCCTGGCCTTATTTATTTATTTATTTATTTATTTTTCCAATTTCAGAATAAAATCATTTTGGACCCGCTAACATTCAGTGAGGCTCGCTTCAGGCCGTCACTGGAGGAACGTCTGGAGAGTATCATCAGTGGTGCTGCCCTCATGGCCGACTCCTCCTGCACACGCGACGATCGCCGTGAACGCATTGTGGCAGAGTGCAACTCCGTGCGCCAGGCCCTGCAAGACCTGCTGAGCGAGTACATGAACAATGTAAGTCCTGAACAACATTTTCTGCCATGTAGGTAGCTTGATGACTGGTTTTCAAGTGATGTTTTTCCGAGCACTATTTTTTATTTTTGTTTTAGTTTTTCCGAATGATGATAATGATGAAGATGATGATTATTTATTTATTACATTTTTGTATTGGTTCTAGATTTAGTGACTCACAGCCAGGTTAACTTGCTGTTTAAATGCTTTTATAAAGGTTTTGTGAAGGGACTAATTGTAGCAAGGCACATTTATTTTATTCTTGCACATCTAGCTTGAAAAATATTTACCTCCAACAACCATGGTTACAGTAGTCATACATTTCAGGGAGTTGATTCATACCATATAAATACACATAATATTTGATAATGTGTATGTGACATAAAGAGTGGTTATTTATTTATCAGTACTGACATCGAACATAAAAAGCTTTTTGAATAGAAAGCCTCAGCGTCATCACATATAGCGCGCACTTAGTCTGTATGAGGTTATATCAGGTTATGCACATTTCTGAAGTTTAAAATGCCTTTTTTTACATGGAAACTTCCAGAATGGAACTTCCAGTATGGCTAAAGTGAGCTACACTGTGAGAAATTTCAGTTTGTATGATGATATGTTAACATTTTCTGCAGATGTAGTGTATGTAAAGGCCTATTTCTACGTTATATTTTTGTTTGCGTTTGTATTTTTGATTGCACTTTCTGGTAATTATAATAATTGTCCTCGGCAAAGAAGGAGCGCGTGTAATTTAATTGCTCCCTTCCTGCGTTTAAGTGCGAACTGTACTTTCGATTTGAGGAATTGGCCTGCTATAGACTATTGGCTGTGCTAATTAGAAGGCGGCCACAGCTGTTTTCACTTTAGTCTTTTAGACTGTGTATTTACCTGATGTCTGTGCGCTGACGCGGAAGCATCAGCGGAAGTGTTCAGGCCTCCTTGTGTGAAGACCAACGAGTGTAAAGACCTGCGACTTTACCTGCGCGACTTCACCGAGCAACGAAATCACCTAGCCACTTAAGTATAATTTTTATCTTCCCTGTACACACTCTCCTTTTCTGTCCTCTCTTTTATGTATCCCCAAATTGCAAGTCGCTTTGGATAAAAGCCTCTGCAAAATGACTAAATGTAAATGTAAAATCGCTGTTTTTGAAGTAATTGTTTATACAGAGAGACACGCAGATGCAGCACGCAGGTACACACAACTGTCACCTCTCTCTCTCTCAAACGATCGATCGATAATTAATTGAAATACGTGCTATAATTCATTCAAATAAATGTGGTCTTACCGCACTATTTCATCTCTGTGTATGATTTGAAGCAGGCAGAAC